CTCTTTCATATTGATGTCAGGAGTCTGTATGATCGTGCATGTGTGCATGTGTATCATTTAGAGTATGTAATGCCAGCCATAGCCAGGATTATTAAAAAGCTTCTAATTGCAGCGTTCTAATAACAAAAATGCCTACCCTCAGGGCTATGTCATTAAAAATTAATTATCCAAGGAAAAGCATGGCCAAGTATGCGTAGGCCAGAAAGTAAATCCGGTTGAGATGTTGTCATATAACACTGTACACATGTAAAACAGGTTACTAAATCATCAATCGAATCCGTCAATGTGAACGTTGTAGTAAAGCAAAATGGCTGCATAACGACGGGAATCTGGTGAGATTAGCTAACAAATTTCATCTTCAGACAAATTTATACAAAATGAAATTCTTCCCAGAAGTGATAACTTAAACTACTCTTCATATATTCATTTATTCTAAAGACATTAAACGGAATATGAAGGGGTTTTCTATTTCTTCCGGATACAACATATGTCCTAGTTTTTGCCATGTCCTGCCATTCTTCTCAAATTCATTCAACTTGGCTGTTTTTATCCCTCCCAGGGACCTCCTTCTTCCAGAGCACTCCTTCTGCAGTGGTTCTTATTTGGAGGCGCGAGCTGGAGTCAACTCGACTGCCTCTCTTCTGACTCGTCTTTGTGCCGGACTCTCCACAACCTCATTCAACAGACAAATCGCCTTTACCACTGGCTCATTGCCCTACGCTTCTTCCGCATTCTTGTCACGCCGGGCCGAGGATGCCCCAATTACATCTGCCCATCGGTTGGATCTCGACAGATCGACCAATTTATGGCTAAGATTCCGCTCAGAATCTGGAACAACTAGTCGATTCCGTTTGGAATACAACAAAGGTTAATACATTAACTATCAACTTTAAAAGGGGAATAATGAGTTGTTTAATACGATGAAGAACTAGTAGTTGAATTTTCCCACAATGATATGAGTAGACATGATGCTTCCCAAAAAGTGTTCTAATTCAGAGTCAACTGCAGTTTCGACCTCGCCTAGGTCTAATCAACACCCTCAGTGAGGTCGAAACTGCAGTCAAGCCTGGATGAGAAAACCTTTTGTGAAAGCAAGACTATGTGAAATTCAGGGGAAAACGCCAGCTCTACTCATATCATTGTGGGAAAATTCAACTACTAGTCTTTCATCACCTTAAGCGAAATAGGATGAACACAATTCATAAATCTGATTTACTGGTAGCCTTGAAAACCTACTCAAAAACGAAATATAAGCTGAATAGTGACATTGATTTATTTAAGTTTTGAGTATATACACTTTGTCTGCCCATATCCGACTGGAAAAGAAGTTGATTTCGCTCTAGCATTCGTATATCACGTGTTCCTGTCGTGTCTTGCATTGTTTACCTTGATCTAGTCCAATTTATCATAAAGCATTAAGTCATCTTGGAAGCAGATTGGAACATAACAGGCCGACAGAAACTGGTACAAGTTTCCAGGGCTCAATATGGCTAACAGCTTATACGAATGGAATGAGAAAGGGAGAGTGCAAAGTAAGAGGGAGCTCACATTCAATCACGTTTCTTCGAAGAGCCCAGGTTGATCTTATCCATCTTCATATACATGCTTGTCGCCAAAGAGCTGTGATAGGCTCATAATTATTTGCTTCTTACATTTCCATGCGCAGAATCATTTCAGCAATGGAGCTTTAAGATAACTTCCATCTAATTGCTTACAGAATCACACGTAAGTTATAATCTCGTTTCTTTGAGGTGAATATACTGCTTGCGATTTCACAGAAGCCAACAGTCCTCAGAAACCGGATGAATTTAAGGAAGGCTCTAATTCTGCCAAGTAATCCATTGCGCGTTGAATCCCGAGAAGCCATTCCTGTCCTGAATGTGGCAATTTTTAGGCCTTGCTTTGTTCACCCCCGAGAGGACTCGACTCATGGATGCTTGATTACCAAAGTCAATGCGACCCAAGTCTGAAGAGATACAAAATTGGCATGGCTTTCGAGACGAAGCAAGTTGATTTAGAATAATAAATTTGGTAAGTGTCTGAAAATATATTTCATATTAATCACTAGTAGTCTCCTGATTGCAGTGAATATAGATAATCCGTAAAGTAATACTCGTCTTCAGTTATTGCTAGAGGTTATCTCAATGAATGACTATGGATCGAGCTCATAAAATCGAACTCTTTT